TNNNNCNNNNAAATACTTTAGTAAGTATTTAATGTATATACTAAATAGGAATATATTTGGTATAATCAAATACCAAATATAATCAAATAAGTCAAAGTGTACATTTTTATTTGGTATTTGATTTTTTTATTATTAAAATCTTTTTATTATACTTACCTTTTTAAAATAAAACAAATAAATAAAACAATTAAATAAATAAAATGTTATAATACCAAAATAGTAATGACATTTAATGCAGTTGACTTTTCTGGATAGTAAATATAGTAAATAGAATCTCTTTTTATATAAGTATAGATTGTATAATACGGAAATAATAATGCAATAAATGTTGTTGACTTTTCTTTATATTAAATCTGGTAAATTGTATATCTTTTAATATAAGTATAGATATATTTTAATTAACTGTCACGTGGTGAGTATAATAATAATAATATATAATTTATTTAATCAACTGATTACGTGCATACTATAATAATAATAGTAAGAAACAATGGATAGCACACGTTTTGAAAAGTTAAAGGCAATCAATCAATTCACATGAATTATAGGTGAGATTAATGAAAGGTGAGATAATATCCGTTCATTTATATAATCTAGTGTGAAAAGGACATAAAAAAAAAGTGTGAAAAGGACATAAAAGTTACTAATTTTAGTAAACATTTAATGCAGACAGGATGTTGACTAAGAATTGACCTACTAATTTTGAAAAAGGTTAATTCTTATTATATAAGTATAGATTATGAAATTAGAGAGGGCCATGCGTGGAGCGTTACAATAACGATGGCGTTTTATTTGGCTATGGAAATCCTCTTGTTCCCACTTGAAGGAATTGTCGGTGAGGCTTCATTTTTAATTTTATTTTAAGTAGTATATAGTGCAGTGTTGTTGTCAAATAATGCGAATATGTTTGTTTAGAGAAACACGATGCATTTAAAAAAACTAATAATAATTACTGTAAATAAATATGAAGTATATATTTTTCATGGATCCCAGATGACAAA